TATTATATATTTTTATTAGATAATTTTTAGATAGCCACCCTTTGCATAAGAAGTTTTAATGTGATAATGTACTCTAAAGTAGTAGCTACAGATCTCTGTTCTGTTCTTGAAGTCAATGGGAGTTTTACTACAGGCACGGCAATCAGAGAATCAGGCACGCAGGCTATGGGAGAGAACATGGAAGTGCCCTAAAGCCTATTACTATTGCAAAACCAAATGAAAATCAAACAAGCAAACCACCTTGATTAACTGAAGCTTGTTATCCAGGGCACGTGCCAGCTCCAATATCATAGCACAAGGCACGGCTGAATCAGTTGCTCCCACAAACACTCTCTCCTGCCATTGTTGTCCAAAGAATTTTGAGTCATAGTGGCAAGCAAGTACTAGATGGCGTTTTGCAGAGGGGTTGAGAGTGCTGACAATATTTGAAAACGTCTGATACCCATATGGTGTGTATCTCTGAAATGTATCTTCTTCAATTTCCCAACCAGCCTGTAGTCTTTGAAGTCGGTGCTTGATATGCTGCGGTTAAAAATAATAATAAAAAAAAATCAGATTAATATTGCTTGGTTCAGAAATACGTTGCAGGCAAATTGTCGTTAGCTAATTAATAGTGGCACTTAAGCTTATTTCTGTAAGTTCATGGTATTTTTAAAAGATAAATTTTATAGCAAAAAAATGTAATGTCACTATATAAAACAAGCAACATCTTTGCCATTGACTGGCTCACTGGCTCCCTTTTGTCTCGTCATGCAGTCTGAAGGTGTTTTGAATGATTGCCCATTAATGTGACACATTAAGATCTTGATCTCTGAAGGTTCAAGGCCAATGTTTTTTCAGGTGTAACCAGGACAGATTTAATGTTTATCTCTTCAAATCTAAACTCAGTTGTGCCCTTGAATGTCAGAACTGGCTGCAGAGAACTTGGTGTGCCTGTTTTGACAATTACCACACATAGATGCCACAGTAGTATTAAAAAAAACGCTGGGGTTTTTTTATTTGTTTGGGGTTTTTTTTTAGCTTCTATGAGAAATCTCCTTTCAAGTGATACAAGTTGTTTACAAGGCTATAAGAGACAGTCTGATTCCTGTAAATTAAAGAAAGAATTTAACATTTCAGAACAATATTTTAAAAATGAAATCCTGTAAGCATACCTCATGTAAAGATAAAAATTAAGACAGTGAATCTGTGAAAGAGATCATTCAATTTAGGTATCTTCCTACCTCAAAATAATACTTCTAACAACCCCAGTTATACTTGGTACAAAGTTCTGGCTAACTCTAATAAGAGGGCCATCTCTGTTGAGCAACTTATTTTTATGGGTCCCTAGAGTGCTTCTTCAAGGCAGATTCCTCTCTTTAAATAAACATTAGGAAAAGCCTCTAAGGGGAAAAAAAGAAAATAGACTTTGAAGACTTGTCCTGCTCTTAGCGAAGTCAGTGGGAATATTGCCATAAATTTTAGTGCTAGAACAAACTTCCATTTTGTTTGTGGTCACCCTCTGAAAGCTTTTATGGCATTGTATGGTCTATGCGCTATCTGTAGGCAGACCAAAGGATGTCTGTTATGGATTAAGGGGAATATATAAGACTGGATGCAGTTCCCAGTGTGCACTAGCCGTGACTGGCACTAGCCTTCTCCCTTAAAGGAGTCTGATGCTTTTTCTGTGTCTTAACAAAGAAATGTCATCCACTTCAAACCCCATTGTGCTTTGACAATGGAGGACTCTTCTTTTTTTTTTTTTCTTCCTTCAGTGGGGTCTACTTCAGTATGTGCTGTTACCTTTTAACAGGATGATCCTATTTTGAACATGATTTGTGGTTTTCTAGCCTAGGCTCAGCTGGGTTTTTTTTGTTTTTCTTACTTTTTCCCCTTTCATTTGGCTGCCTTCCAGGGTATCACTAAAGAAGCCACAAAACTAAATCTGCAGAGACATGCGTGCACACGCACACACAAAACATATAAAAGAAGCTGTGTTTTTTCCAGTCTGCCAATTGCAGAGTGGGAAATAAACTTACTGTAGTTATGGCTACTTTGGAGCTGTTAAGTCACTGCCTAAAGGGTAGACGAAGGCTAGTGAGATGTTGTGAATGTCTTCTATAAACTCAGCTGTACCACCATTTTAGTCTCCCACTTGGCTCGTGTAACCCAGAGCCAGCATGGCATGCAGTCCTGAAGACACCCACGCTGTGAGTGCGGAGCAGAGGTGCCGGCAGGGGCAACCCAGTCCTGTGGTAACTCCTTCTGGCTCAAACGGTGCGACCTGGGTCTGTTAGCCCAGCGTCAACGCACTGCTGCGCTTGGGCCAGTGGAGCTGGCGTGGTACTCAGAGCAGTGCTGCGCTTTCGTCATGTTGACCGTTTCATCTGCCTGTCCATTTGGGCACCTCTGATCTCTTTTTTTTGTGTAGATACACCCATCTGAAGCAACACTACAGGGGAGTGTAACAGCACAGACCTCTCCAGAAAAAGGGCTCTGAAGTGTCATTTATTTCATTCCTGTGTATAGTCCCAGGGGGTTTGAATCAGTGACCAAAAACCTGCCCTTGTGAGGAAAAGGACAGCACTTGAGTTGTACTTTGGGTACCAAACGTGAGGTAAGCTTTTTAATTTGAAACATAAATCTAAAAACAAATTATTATTTTTTTCATCATGCTATGCAGCCCTAGGAAATAATGCCAGCTAAAGTGCAAGCTGTGTCACGTAGGCTCTATGCAGTCTAGACTTGAACACTAATAGAGTTCATCCTACCAAATGAAAGGAATGTGTCTGTCCCTTTAGTGGTCACTAAAGGCTCTACCAGAATATAAATAATAGATGTTCTTAGAGGTTTTCAGGAAATGTTGTCTTACCTGTCGTACGATATAATTTCCTGGTGACCCCGAGTATCTTTCTATCAGGATAGGGCGCAAATCATTCTCCCACATTTCAGAAACATCTGTGTTTGCTGCAACTTTTTGAATAGCATCAGAATTTAAAATTCTTGGTTGGTGAGAATACTGTAGAAGGAAAAAAAAAAGGAAAGATTGCTATAACTATTATTAGACCTTTTTAACCGTAGTTTTCTTCAGAATTACGTGATATATTGTGCTACTTTGATTTACTGACAACAAAAAGTAATTTTAGAAAAAGATTTTCTCTCAAAAATGATTGGCATTTTTAAGTTCTGTGGCTTCTGTATCTTTGATTTCCATGTTAAATACACTAGTATTAAAAACACGGGACAAATTTTTTATCTACCAGCTAGCTGTGAGAACTCAACCCACAATTAGGTTCTCTCTTTTCTAATATCTTAATTCTACATGCATACAGACATTTCTGCAACCACTCCACCTTCAAATGAGGTTTCCATTGAGACAAACACCAGAAGCTTTGTTTTCAGTAGTAATAATATTTAGCGTTATGCTGTGTCTACGTTATGAGGTGCGGTACAGCAAAGAAATGTATAAGCTAGCTCTGTCCCAGAAAGAGTGAAGCTGTGCCACTGTGGCCTCTGCCCGCAGAGGTGACTGCACAGCATGGTCCAGCTCATATGGGACTAGCTGGGGTATACATCAGCTTTGTGACACATGGGTTAACCTCAGACTGGGCAGCTTGTCTCCTGTGCCAACAGCTAGCAGTACTAGCTACCTCCCACGGGGCTGCCTTTCTGTTGCCTAAGCACGGACCTTTAGAGCTATTTCAGGTGACCTAGAATACTGGAGACATTCTCACGGGCTGGCAAATGCATGTCTTTGGCGTGCAGGAGCCTTGTGCTGTTCTGGAGTGGTAGCTGAATGCCAGGTGGGATTCCCAAGGACATCTCAAATACGTCTTTGGGCACCTAATTTGAATCTATCCAATCTCTAGCAATTGTCTCCTCAGGAACTTCCTGCGCTGCTCCTGTTTTTATAGATTCCTATTTTAGGCACTATCATAGGGTTCTCCTATCATATTCATTCCTTATTTCTATCATAGGGACTTCCCTCTACTCCTCTCTTTCTCCCACTGAAAAATCCTGCTCTGTTTACTTGTTCTTTGATTGGAACTGCCTTATGTGACTGATCGGACTTGTTCTCCTTCAGTGTACCCTGTCTACATCATCCTTTTGAGGTGACGAGAGGGAAGGAAACTGCAACATGAGAGCACCATAGCTTATAGTGTAGGATAATGATATTTTCTATTTTATTCTTTTCCTTTCTCAAATCTGTTTAACAATTGACTTGCTATTCAGCTGCTACTGCATCAAACTTACATTTTCATAGATGTACTTACTCCAACTCCATCATTGTTTATGTTAAAAAAATAACCGTCTCCCCTCCTTTCCCACTCTCCTGTGTGTCATTTCACATTTGTCTGAAATGACCACTGAAGTTCATTACCTGGCCAGAAAGCGTACTGACCTTGAGATCCTCTGCAGTCCTCTATAATGACCTGTTATCTTAATTACCTTGACTGATTAATATTGTTAAAAAATGGTTTTTACCTTACTATTTGTCATCTTTTCTACTTCATTTGTATGTGTGCTGAGCAAAGCAGGCACAAGCACAAATATTTTCTAGACTTCACTGTAAACATTTAATTCTACCCTTCTCTCTTCGTTGCTGTTTATCTATGTGTGGACCTTTCCTCTAATTCCACTTCAGTTTACTAAGTGAAATTAAGTAGAGGGGAGACACAAAGACACTGAATCCTATGATGCCAATTTTAATACAGTGTTTAAAGCTGAATTTTAAGACTATAGGTACACCACATTTTACAATGTGTAGTTAACATTTTTAATGTTAGCAAATTTAGACTTGGGTTAAAGAAAAATTGCATTTCATCTGATATAAAGAAGAACTTTTACAAGTTTTGAAATTGTGTTGTAGAAGATATATAAGCTGTCTTTGGAAAGACTAGAAGTTTAATACAGTGGAATTTACACCAGTGTAGAAAAGGCACAGACAAGAGAAAATGTTGTCAGGGAGCTGTTCTGTCTAGGAGGAACAGGCTGTAAGAAGAGAGAGAAAAGCTAAAGTATGCACTTCAGAAGAGTGTAGGAGGACTATTTAATTAAGGAAGTTCAGAAAATATGCCTCCAGTTGAACAAGTGAAGGGCTCAGGGAGAATGTGGAATTGTCTTGCTTCTAACCATAGAGTGTGCCTGGTAATTGAGGTCATTGAATCACTTTGCAAAGAAACATTGTAATTATTATTATTATTAAAATAGAAATGTATTAAAATACTTCAGAAGAGAGGAACAAATTCCCATTTCTAATAATGGAGATATCTTCAAATTTGGGAAGTGAAAGGAATTACAAAAGTGGTCATGAAATAAAAGAGAAGCAGAATGAGATCTGTAGGTGACTCATTCCTTAGAGCGTCAGTCAATCTCCATTTCCTCCATGGCCACAGCAGGGAGGCAGAGTGATGTATTTATGACAGGGCTATCAGTAAACCTTTTGTACTAAGCTGCGTATAACTACAAGACTTCAACTTCTACAAGTATCCCACGCTTACCTGCCAATTTTGGTATATTTCTGCTTGGTGCCAATGGAAGTTAGCTTCTAAGAACTCTTAAGTTTAGGACCCGATACCTCCTCATCAATAAGACAAGGAGGGGAAGGTCTGTACACTGTAAGGCTCTCAACTTTTGGCTCACGCATCCCTTTAGGGAGAAGGAACAAAAGTTGTCAAGGGACAAGAATTTGATGAGAAAAAGGAAGTGGTTCTTGGTTAGTGTCTGCATGGGCAGAGGAGTTCAGATGCTATGGTGCTGCGGTTAGAGGATGCTACTTACATCATTGATGAGTAGATTGACTAGTTGGAATGGAATGAGCTAAAGAGTATATTGGTGTGGCTCAAGGGGGCCGAAAAAAGGATCACTGGGGCTACATGCTTGTACGTTGACTAGTGTGACTAAAGATTTAGCCTCATGTATTCTTATACATCTATTATGCATACTATAGATGTATTATGTTACAGATATGTAGTCTATACATGAGCTCTATATATATAGTAAGATAAAATTAATAGAACAGAATGACAAAATTTCTCTTTAAAAAAACAAACCAACCCAACACTTACTTGAATGGGGAGTGACTAAAATCAAGGAGAAAGGGAATGACTAAGGGGAAGTGAGTGGAAAGGTTATGAGGGAAGCTTCATTTTGGCAGTTTGTCCTGGACTCTGATCTATTGGTGAAGAGAACGGTGCGCTGGATTAGTGGAGTTCAGTCAGTTCTGGCTGAACTTTGAGTTCAGCTCTTCTGCAAACACCTGGGGATAGGCCCTAGAAGTATATTTTCCATTTGGAAATTCCTGAACCCTTTAACTGAATGTAATTTGAAGTTGTATGCTCTCCCTTGTTCCATGTGGTTTAGTTCTTCATGAAGAAACTATGTTCATGTTTCATCATCGACCACTAAGAGTTGTTACACAGAGAAATGAGGGGTTTATTGCTCATTGCTCTGTCATTAAACGTTATCTCAAGACTGCTTTGCTCACCAGTTCACACACCACTTTGAATTAAAAACAACATAGTATGGTTCTATGACATATTAGAATACTATATCCTTTCAAAATGATTTTGCAGTAGCTATCAATCAACACCCTTCCTACTTGTTTTTCCTAGCTAAATGTGTATCACTGCTGGAAGAGCTGTTTGGTTTCTCAAACTGAGACACTGTCCTGGGAATCACTGTAATCCCATTGAAAATTGGAGTATAACAGAATGTTATACGGAATATAAGTTCAGATTTTGATCCCTCTGGTCCTGCTTGGGTTTCCCCTTAAATTCACTCACTGCCCCTGACAAAGCTCATCGCTGCAGCTGCCGGTTCCCGTTCTGAGGTGACAGAGGTGCGAAGAAGACTTGTTCTCCGCAGCCATCCGCCCGGCTGAGGGGGAAGCCATGT